ATATACAGTGTTCCCCTGCTTCGACACGAGCGAGGCGGGCCGCCTTGGTCAAATTCTCAGCCGCCATACAGAAATTTGTCCAAAACACAGCCTCGCTGACGAAACTTTTGACAACTTGCAAAAGAGAGTCTCATACAATGTGTTGAGAATAGCTTAGAATGCACCAAATGGCACCATTTTTCCAAAAATGCCCCCGGACCCCCTAGCTTGGCCAGCACCTGCGCTGCTCGCTTTGCTAGGACCTCGAAACGCGAAAAACGCATCAGAAAATACTTTTACCACATCACAGACCTTTTTGGCATACAGTGGGAAACACTGTACTGTAGGTACTGTACACTGCACTGTGCACTGCACTGTGCACTGCACTGCACTGTACACTGCACACTGTACACTGCACTGCACTGTGCACTGCACACTACACACTGTACACTGCACACTGTACACTGCACTGTACTGTAGGTTCGTTCACACTGGCGCGAATTAGCGGGCTGCAAAACCGGTTGCAGCCCGCTCGATAAACCACTCGAGTGTGAACGCAATTAGCTCACTAAATCCCGCTCAAAATAGCTCGCTGCAACGAACGCGCGCTCATTTGCACCGCGGCGTGTGTGTGAACGCTATTTCTACCCGGCATTTTCTATCCCATCATTCCACGTGATCGTATCATGTGGGCAGCAGTGAGCGGTGCTAGTGCTCGTACTGACGACATATGTTTATTTCATCTTTCATTTTTACCGTGGTCTGAATTAATTTATTAATTAACCGTAAATCTGTTAACTGTGCGATTGTGACGTGATGCCGAAATCGAAAGCTAGTACAAAGGCGGTATCTGGATCTGGAGGGGCTCACTGGAAGGATGAAGAAGTGTTAACCCTCATAAATGTATGGGGAGAAGAAGAGATTTTCCGTGAAACGGAGGACACGAGGATGAAGAAGAAGACGGTGTATATTGAAATAAGCAGACGCTTGGAAGCGATCGGAATTTTGAGAGACGTGTCCCAAATAAAATCAAAAATCAAAAACTTGAAATGGGAGTTTAAGCTGATCCTTAAACAGAACAACAAGTCGGGCAACGACGGAAAAACAATGAAGTTTTACAACGAACTGAACAGTTTCCTTGGACACCGACCGGCCAACAACCCTCCAAGTGGCTCAGTTTTGGAGACAGCGACGGTGTCTAGCCCTGACACTCCTGGTACTAGTACCAGCGACACCAGTGGTAAATTAAGCTCTCCCTTGTTATGAAATTAAACGTAGATCTAGTACTTTCATTTCTGTTTTATTGCATTTCAGTCTTTAACTGAGTCATGATGACTCGACATCCACGAGCTTCTGTGAAACTGAAAGGAATGACAGCTCAATTTTGAAAATTTTAATGCTGAATGCTACGATGTGCATGCTTTGAATTATAAAACAAGTGAAAATTTTTAAAGCGCTTAAACAGTTTGCATGATTAAGAACTAAATTTAAATTTATGCAAGCTGCTTCATGGAGATACTAGTTTTTTAACACAAGACTTTGCATTCTTTTAGACCGGGATCTTCCAGAAGAACAGTCCAACTATGAGCAGGAACAATCATGGATCCAGATGATGGCTTCTCTGATATTTGGCTAAATTCAATTTGAGTTTAAGTTCAAGTTTAAAAATGAGTGTAGAGATGATATTTTAGTGCTAATTTCGTCCCAGTATTAGGGCTGAGTGAAGTGAAGAAACAGTGTGGATAGCTATGTAAATGCGTCGAAACACACTAGGCGATTTTTCATGCGAGTGAGTCGCGCGACTGAGTCGCCGACAACCGAGTCGGGCAACTGGCTGGCATTAGGCGATTTTCACCGGCGATTAAGTCAAGTTAACTTTTTTTTTCTTTTTTTTGCATTCAGATATGGAGAGTGAAGTCAGCATTAACACAAGTAGAGAGATTGAAGAAGAGGTGGAGGAAGCACCCCAGCGTCAGGGCGAGGCTGAAGACAATCAACCACCTGCTCCCAAAAGGAAAAAAGGTAAATCAATGTATTCTTATAATGTTGGGAAATTAAGTTGCAGTTTAGTAGTAAAATTTATTAATACAGATGTTGGGCAGTACATCATGTGACATATGCGCTGGATTGTTCGATGGTAATACCTTTCATAGAACTTTATAATTACGGTTATGATTTGCTTTAATACATTGCCTACGTTCCACGCTGCCATCTGTCAACATGTGTTTTCAATATTGCAGCGTCGCCAAGGGACAGCAGTGTGAAGAACCTCATTGAGAAGATGATGAGAAGCAACCATCAGCGGGACAGAACTGCAGTTAGAGCAGATGCTGAAAGAAGACGCAGTGAGGAGGAGGCACCGACACGAGGTATTTGTCTCTATATTAATTTTCACAATAAATTTACACATAAAGAAATGTCCCTATTCAAACTACATGTGATTTCTAAATCATAGCCACTCCCCATTTCACACTCGGGGGGGGGGACGAGGGGTCACTGGCAATATGCATGCATCCAAAATTAAGCGTAAATTTATTGTGGTAATTAATATAGAGACAAATACCTCGTGTCGGTGCCTCTCCTCCTCACTGCGTCTTCTTTCAGCATCTGCTCTAACTGCAGTTCTGTCCCGCTGATGGTTGCTTCTCATCATCTTCTCA